GAGGAGGAGGCAGCCCAGAGGAGGCAGCCCGGAGGAGGAGGCAGCCCGGAGGAGGAGGCGCACCAGCCACGAGGCGTTCGGAAAAGACTAGCACAGACCAGGAGAGGAGCGGCCCAGAAGACACACATGGAGGGGGTGGAGCAGCAGGTGGAGGGTGTCCCAGGCCCTCACGGAGGCACCTGGGCCGGCCCGGGGGGGGTGCCCCCCGCCCCCTGTGCATGCCCTCCCGCGCGCACGTGCCCTGACGCTTACCGGAATTCTCTGCACCTCCAGGACTCTCCCCATCACTGGAGAAAAGACTGCAACCTGGGTACATGAAGCAACGCTCTCTATCCCATCACCCAATAACCCGGAGATCCAAGCCCCAAAGCCACGCTGTGCAAGCCCCGTTTCTGGGATAAGACTGAGGAAGTGGCATTTGTTTTGAAAACTCGATCAGGAACTAGCAGAGGGAAAATCAAAATGATATGGATGTCCCTCTCTGTACAGAAATGGGGAACTTGGGGCTGGACACTTGTCTCTCATCCAGTTATTTCCACATAGAAGAAAAGTTACAGGAACACATAGGAAGCCGAAGCACAAATCCACAACACTAGTGACACAATCCAAGTTGTGTGTCTTTAACCCTCAACTTTCTGTCTCAGGGGGACAGAAGTGAGCTTCATTTAAGGTTCATGGAATTACAAATGTGTGTCAGTGCAGATGCCTGGCCTTCCCAGCATGACTTTCAATTCGACGGCCAGTGTCAGTGGGGTTTTATGTTATCCCTCTGCGTGGATGACTTGGGACAAACACGCAGGTTGGAAGCCGTCTGCAGAGGGTTTGAGGCAAGAGCAACTTTATGGTTCTTATTACAGATCCCTAAGTGGAGGTACGATAATGAACGGAGTACAGAGAGCTCCCACCTGGGCACAGAGGGCAGGTGGGTGCCCAGGAGGTCTGCCATGCTGATGGAGACAAGGTCAACATTAGGAAAAAAGAGTGGGGAAGGAGAGGGAGACGTGAGCTCAAAGAGCTATGTAGGGAGGGGAGACTGAGGACAGAAGACTGACCTGTGTGTCCAGTCACCCCACCTCACAACATCTGAGAATAAGTGCTCAGTCTGAGTGTCTAGGGGGAAGCTCTCTTCAGGAAGACGTGGAGAGAGCACCACCCCGGCTGTAGATACTGTCAGAATTCCCAGACACACGGAAAGAGGAATGAAGTTATAGAGGGCAGCAGGCATGAGTAACGTGTTGTTGTGCCTGTGCAGGCCAGAGATGGACACGCAGAGACCTGGAGTTCTGGAGACTCACGGGATGGAGAGGCGGAGACTGCGAGAGACAGAGAGGGTGGAGGATGTGGAAGAGGCACACTGGAATGGTAAAGGACAGAACGTGCGCCCCTGAGCCTCTCCAGTCTCCAGCCCTGGAGTCCTGACTGCATGATCCGCCCTCAGCTACAGTCAGAGGAGACATTAGCCCCCGGTGACAGCCCTGGACTCACAGAGGGGACAGCAGCAGCCGACCCTAACCTGAGGGAAAAGGGCTACACTGTGACAGCTGGCCTTCCTGCTGCTTCTCCAGTCTGGATGTTAGGTTTGGGGTGGCCAAGTCTCCCCATGTGCCAGGGGCTTCCTGTGATGTGGAATTGTCACTGTGGAGATCACTGAAAGCCTGAGACAGCTAGGCACTCTGGGGCTCACTCTGTGAGCCCCATCTAGGATTAGGGAGCAATCTCATCTAGGATTAGGGAGCAATGGCCCTGTGACCCTGCAGGTAAGGGCTCACGCAATGGAGAAGGGAGAAGCCATGACACTCGGTGTCAACTCCAGGTGGGGAGGAAGCCAAGGAGAAGATGAGCGATGACAAGGGTCTGGAGAGGGGAAAGGATGGTTTGATCTCAGCCAACCTGGAAGGAAAGCCTGGACCAGAAGATGTGCAAGAAGAAAGAAGGATTATCACACTCTCGGGAATTAGAGGAAGTACCGCCCTCCCTGCGGCCTACTGACAGGCAGGATGACCACCTGATGGGTGTTATGCCCACCTGACAGTTGTGGTTCAGCAAGGTCAAAGTGTAAGAAAGGAGTATCTGCTTTCCATGCGTGGTGGTGAGTCCGGCTGCTTGGACGATGAGCAGTGCTCAGTAACAGTGTGGCTGCTGCAGGTGGTACCAATGCCCACTGCTGGGCACAGGGCCCAGTGCTGACAGCCCTGGCCATCCCCACACCTTGCTACGGGTTCCAGAACAGGGAACTAGAACTAGAGCTTTTCCTGCAAGGCAGACATGGGAAACGGCAGGAAAGACCCTAGGCCATGGAAATAGAGCAGAGGCAGTGTGGACTGAGATGACCGCAGCTCAGGAAATCACTCTCAGTGGCTCTGGATCCAGCTTTCAGTGCAACTGACTTTCTTCAATGTATCACAGAACTATTCCACGAGGGTGATTGAACACAGGAACAGCAGGTGAGCTCACAGACCTAGGGCCCAGGGGGCCAGCTTACAAGGTGCACCCAATGCAGAGAGGAAGGGATATTGAGCAACCTGCCAGCTTCAAGCCCTCTGTCTCTCTCCCCGCCTGGAGCCTGAGACTCCAAGCCCTCCTTGCATCTAGTGCTCAGCAGTAGATGTTCATCAGTTTATCTTACAGGTTCTACATATTCATTTGATTAAACACACATTAAAAAAAACTAGCTGGGCTTGGGTGGCTCACACCTGTAATCCTAGCTACTCAGGAGGCTGAGATCTGAGGATTGTGGTTCAAAGCCAGCCTGAGACTCTTATCTCCAATTAACCACCAGAAAACTGGAAGTGGTGCTGTGGCTCAAGTGGTAGAGCACTTGCCTTGAGCTGAAGAGCTGAAGGACAGCGCCCAGGCCAGGAGTTCAAGCCCCATGACTGACAAAAAAAAACCCTATTTTTAGACTTACTAAAATGTCTATTTATCAACCAGAAAGAAGCATGAAAGCCATGCATTCTTTTTATGCTGGAGACTTTTCTAGAATGATGTTGTGTTGGATAAGCCCACATATAAATTGTTGTCTAGTGAGCCAGGTGCCTCTAATCCTAACAACTGAGCAGGCTGAGATCTGAGGGTCATGGTTCAAGTCCAGCCTAGGCAGAAAAGCCCGTGACCCTCTTATGTCTAATTAACTCACCAAAAGTGGTGCTGTGGCTCAAGTGGAAGAGCATGCACTTTAGATAACATTCTTAAGGGATAGTGCTCAGCCATGAGTTCAAGCCCCAGGACCAGCCAATAAAAAATGTGTTTAAAACCTCCCTTTATCCTGTGAGGCCATCATCAAGCACAGGCCTGGGACTCTACTGCATGGCGCACTGACCCAGATTCAGCCCCATGTGTTTGAGGGGACGGGCCAGTGGTGGTGACAGTGCCCCAGCCTGGGGGGACCAGCTGTCCCAGCAGCCAGCAGCTGTCGTGGCTCAGCGACTCCGTGGCTGCCACCACCTAGCATGGCCAGATCCCTGCAGATCGAGGTTTTGACATGGGAAGGAAGTCCAGGCTGCGCACCATCGCCCTCCACGGTGTCAGCACATAGGGGCGGAGCCAGCAGAGGAAGCCAAGCCCCCACCCCATGCATATCTACTGCACATGCTCCTTTGGGGTGTACGGCCGACCACGCCTGAGCAGCAGGCCCAAAGGCTCCCTCCAACTGCTCAGGGTAGGTCTCCTCCCAGCTCCTGAATCTCCACCAGCCAGCAAGACGGTGGGGGACGAGGCGGTGCGCTCCCTCCCTGTGCCTCCGAGCCCACAGAGGCGCAGAGGAGATGGGGCTGGGCTGGGCAGGGCGGGGGCGGGGGGATGCAGAAGTTGCTCAGAAGCCACCCACATGGAGTTCCAGGTCCTCTACACCACGGGCTGTGGGCAAGCCCTACTTAGCCATGGCTGCTGCATGCATGCAGCTCTGCCCCCAGCCGCCCCCTGCCCCCCGCCCCTGCCTAGCTGTCAGCCATGCCCCACCGTACAGCCTTGCCCATCTACCCAGCGTCTCCCTTCACCTTTATTGTGAGGCTCTTCTGCCACCTGCTCGGCCTTCTGTCTTCATTCCCTTTCCTCTTTCTTCACAGACACAGCTTCTCACCCCTCACCAAAGAGAACATTTACAAAGCACACAGGAGCAAGGGTGTTACGTAGGCACCCCGCTTCCCGGCTACACAAGCCTCATCTGATTTTTATTGTGCCAGTACTGGAGCGCTGGACTTAGCGCTCTCACTTGGCTTTTTCTCTCAAGCCTGGTGATCTACCACTTGAGCCACACCTCTGTTCTGGCTTTTTGGAGATGCGTCTCATGGACTCTTTTTGGTGGACATGCTTTGAACTGAGGTCCTTATATCTCAGACTCCTGAGCATCCAGGATGATAAGCATGAGCCACCGATGCCTGGTTCTCATCAGATTGTGATGTCTGCCTCTCGCCCTGTCACCTGTGAACTCTGCCTAACGCACTGGGTTTGTGGAGCAATACATCAATGACCAATCAAATGCTGGTTCTTTAGGAAGTCTTTCCTAGCTAGCCTTCAAAGGAGGTGGATAGTCTTTGCTGTAAATATTCTACAGTGTGAGATCTGGGCAAACCCTGCCTGCATCATAAAGTCTGGTGTGTTCTCAGCCTCCAGTAAAATCCACACTGCAGCCCACCTTGCCATCTGCTCAACCACTGCCGAGGGCAAGGGGACCCCGAGTTCCAAGCGGAGAGGCCTCACAGGCGCAGACCTCCGGTGCGGCCACCGCACAGAACAACCCGGCACCGCGTTGCTGTGGCTATCTTTGACGGCAGCCCTGGGCCTACCGGGCCTCCTTACCTCTACTGTGTGTAACTGCGGTCGTTCACATTTCCATCTCTAGCTTTCTGCTCTGCGGTAGGAAACCAGATCATCCTCTTTATCGGAACTGTGCTTAAAATAAGATTTGGCGAATTTAAAAGTGCACCTGGGAGAGTCCCCTGGGACAGGGGCACCCGGGGCAGAGGACAAGGGCTGTGGCAGCTACTTTCGGGGCTGAGGCTCTTTTTCTGCTCATTTCCTCTTTCTCGGCCTGTCAGAGATTTCCAGGTAAGTGAGGACGATGACACCTAATGGAAGGCAGGCAAGGTTCTAGCACACACCGTGACGGCCATGTAAACAGCATCTCCGCGACACAGACACACTGCGCAGCGCCGCCCACCTGTCACCTTCGCCTGGAAGGTGAGGTGATCTGGAGAACTTCTTCTGATGAATGGGAGCCCAGGAGTCCTCCCGAGCAGACCCTCGGCTGGCCTCAGGCAGGCCACAGTCCCCCAGAGCCACCCGGCTCAGCCCTGTGTGCCACTGCAGAGCCTCCCCTCCTGGCCCTGGCCCTCTCCCTGCATGCCTGCCCTCCCCTCCAGCCCCACCACCTGTCCCCCACCACCAGCCCTCCTCTGTCCATGCACTGTGCAACAAAGACATGCCCGCTTGCTTGGGTTTGTGGCAACTGCATTTCTTCTTTCTAGTTATGGCTGAAATGGAAGCCTGCTCCTCCACAGGTCGCCACTGCTTATAGACTCAATGCCAATGTCCTTGCATTGGCCATTTGCTAGTTCTCGGGCAATGCTGGCCACCATCCCCTGGGGCACAGGGAGTTAAAGGTCAGTATTCAATGTCTGAAACAGACCCTGAGTCTTGGACCCTTATCCCTTCCCTGCCATGTGAGGAAGCATCTGCCCGTCTCCTGTACACACTCTGAGAACAGCATCTTAGCTGAAATTCCATCCCATAACTCCTCTGAAATCTCTGCAGGAGGGTACAGCTCACAGGACAGCTCGCAGGAGACGCAGCCACAGGCCGCCTCTTCTCTTCCTCACTTGATTGATAGAATCCAAATAAATGTGTGCTCAATGGATGTAAGGCTCAATGATACAAACTACTGCAATAATTGGTTTTTGCCTACAAAGTGTAAAATTTATAAAGAAATACTATCTTTCTGGATCCCAAGGCAAATGAAAACTTACCAGTGAAGAAGTTGTTTTCTGCTTCATAGACCAGCAGCCCCCGCGTTTTCCTCTTCAGTTTCAGACCCCCTGGTTGGGAGTGTGAAGACCCCCAACCCTCCTCCTCTTCCTCTTCAGAAGAGCAGCTGCTGAGCCTCCACGCCAGTCCCCCCTCGACGGCCCAGTGCAGGGTCACACTTTTCCCTCACAGGGTTGTTGTGGTGAACTCCCTCACCACAAGCCTTCTACCTCCAACACACTTCAGATCATACAAAGGTAACAAATAAGGTGGAGGAAGAAAGGCTGCTTATGTAACTAGGTCACTTGATCATTTTAGATGCAAATTTTTTGTTTCAGAATTATTAATCTGTAGAATAATTCTTGATTCTTCATGGAAATAAAAAATTAATGCAAATGGTTGTAAAGTATACGGGAAGACTCCACACTCACCAATGAGTTCTGTAGTCAGCGACCCACATTACTATTCTGACAGGCAAAAACCAAGCGTTTAAACACCAACAAGCATCCGTGTTGGTGTAAGTCCTCCGAGGACAGCGGGGCTGTCCATGCTCTCTCCTTTTAAAGAGTACAGTTAAGAGTTACTTCCAGTTTGTGTGATATGTTATAAAAAGAACATTGAACATTTGCTTTCATTTAATCCTGACCAGCAAGACTGGCAGAAGGAAGGTTATCGCCTCATACTACATCTGGAAGGAACTGGTAAGTGATCAGCTCAACAGTATCTAACAAGGGTGCACGCTGTACAGACGACCTGGACTTCTGCCCGCTGATTCACTCCTCTCACAAACACTTACAAAGGAGCTACCCCATGCCCAGCACTGCTCAGCCATAGGACATACGGCTGTGATCAGAACAGGCAAAGCCCTTGCCTTGTGGGATTCATATCTTGTCACAGGAGGCAGACAATAAATACAATAAAGAAAAAGGCGTATGGTATGGCAGATGTACACAGGTGCCAGAGAAACAAGAGCAAAGGGAGATTGTTCAGGCAGCTGACATATTAATCACAGAGAGGAGTGTTTATCTGGGAGAGGAGCAACGTAGGCCAAAGGAACAGCAAAAGCAAGGGCCCTGCCTGGCTTGTTCATAGCAAAGAAAGGAAGTGGATGCAGCTGAGAGTCCCAGGAACTCAACCGGGTCAGGGCCTATCGTCCATTGACAGTGTGAGAAAAAGTACTCTTTTTTGCCAAACCAAAGTGTTTTCAGTATTGTGTATTGATACTTTCTGGAATTATTTGCTTAATTTACTTGAATTGCAACTATTATCTGCACTGCTTGGAACCAGCTAGCCATCTTAGGGAGATCAGTCTTGTGTTGAAGAAGAGGGACACACTGTCAGAGTTCAAGGAGGAAGGAAGGAAACAGCTCCCTAGAGAGAGGGTAGTCAGCAGATCCAATCATCGCATGAGGATCAGGGTGAGCCACAGGGATTTCACGTAACATGGTCCCCATAAACATTCTTGTCTTGGGCTGGAAATGTGGCTCAGTGGTAGAGCGCTTGCCTAGCATGCATGAAACCCTGGGTTCGATTCCTCAGTACCACATACATAGAAAAAACTGGAAGTAGCACTGTGGCTCAAGTGGTAGAGCGTTAGCCTTAAGCAAAAGCAGCTCAGGGACAGTGCCTAGGCCATGAGTTCAAGCCCCAGGACTGACAAAAAAAAAAGGTTCTTGTCTTCAGACTGTAGAAACAATGGCTGAATAGGTTGAATTTAACCAGAACTGTGATATAGACAACTGAGTAAGACAGAATGAACTATATGTTTGAGGGATTGCATGTTTCTCAGCATCTGAGGACCTTCGCCCCCCAGAACATTCCCTGCGTTGTTCTCTCCATCTGAGGACCCTCTACAAAGAACACTCTAACTCTGGGCCACAGGAAGGCTGTACAAGCATCAGCGTGAGCAGCCACGAGGCCTCACACACAGGGCTTATCCCTCCTAGTGTTCTGACATCTTGCAAGCAGAATGCTGCCACAGGATGTCACTGCCCCTGCTGATGCCAACCACATTCCCAAAGAATGCACTTCCCTTTCTCTAAACACTGAGGGAGGTTTATAAAACCAATAGTGTAAGTCTTATGTGTTTTCTTAAGCGTTTCCTCCACCACACTTCTTGGGACAGTTAATAATGGAATTTTACCCTCATCGATAAACCCCGCACTCCTCTTCCTTTATTCTCATGCACTGTTCTTGTGCATCTTGCCCCCAAAAGTTTAGAAGTCAATGCAAGATGTTAAAAATAATCTCAATGAAAAGATAGAAATCTTGAAAATAAATAAATCAAATCACTATCCAGGAGATAAAAATATAGTTTTAGGAAGCCTCTCCAGCAGAGCAGATACAATACAGAATTTCTAGGCTTAAAGATAGAGTAGACATCATAGAGAAAGAAGAAGAAAATTTACAAAAAAAAACATGAAATAAATTTGCAGGAAATTTGAGATTGTTTTTTAAAAAAAATATGTTTCTTAATAAAGACCCAGAAGCACAACAAATCAAAGGAAGGTTTGACAAATGGGATTACTTTTTGTTTACATTTGTTTTCTTTGATCTCTTTTAGCTGCTTAGCTGTATTTCTTTTACTCCTATAACTATTTATTTATATTTGCTTGATTTTCATTTAGCCTTTTAATTCTTGCTGAGTTTATTAAGTCAATTGCTTATGTTCTCTCTGATTTCACTGATGTCTTTATCTATACCCCTTTTGTTGTTCATTATTTTTTTCTTGACAGGTCTGAGGTACTGTCCCTGAGCTGCTTTTGCTCAAGGCTAGCACTCTACCACTTGAACCACAGCACCACTTCTGGTGTTTTCGGTTTATGTGGTACTGGAGAATTGAACCCAGTGATTCATGCTTGCTAGGCAAGCACTCTACTTCTAGGCCACATTCCCAGCTCCTTATCGTTCATTCTTATCTGTAAGCTTCAGGGGAGAATGGCTCAAAGACAGAGGCAAATCCAGGCACCAGTGGCTCATGCCTGTAATCCTAACTACTCAGGAGGCTGAGATCTGAGGATCATGGTTCAAAGCCAGCCCAGGCAGGAAAGTCCATGAGACTCTTATCTCCA